AGTAGGATTATTACCCTCTTCCAGCTATTTGGTATTAAACCTTCTTTCCATATTTCATTAAACAGTTTTAATATTAATTTTAATGTTACTTCAGGAATCTGTTTAAACATAGCATAGCATAGCTGATCCTCCCCGGGAGCTGAAGATCCTGTCCCTTTCAATACTGTTTTCATTTCTTTCATGGTTATATTCATGTCTAATATGTTTGACTATTTTTCAATATATTTTTATGCTTTTTGAATCTTCTGTTGTCTATGAATGCCTGTAAGATGTTCGCCACTATGCACTGCAGCAAATGACTCACCCAACAAATCTGCCTTATCTTTATTTAACACTATTTCCTGATCTCTAACTAAGGCTGGTATTTTAACATCACTGCTTTTCCCAATCATTTTCCTAAACATTGACCAAACATTCTGTAATTTTATTTCTGATCCTATTGAGGAACAATATTCTCTCCATGTTTTCTTTTTAACTTCCTTAACAGTTTTACGAGCCACTGCTCTTTTCTTTTTATAATCAATAAGAGTTTCGATTGTTACATTTTTCTGCAGTATTTTAAATGCCCTGTTACGATCTTTAACCGCTCTAGTACATTCATCATTCCACCAAGGAACTACTTTTTTCGTCCTTTTTATTATTATTTTTGGTATGCTGGTGGTAAGTTTGCTTAAAACTGCTAATTATCATAGTTTAATTATGAACAGTGCAGTACACATATAAACAAACTTACATTGGTTTCAGAAGTAGTTATTTTATCACTTTTATTGTGATTTTTATGATTATTATTATTATAACAATCACTCAACTTAATATTATAACTCCATGGAGACTGTTTGTTGTGACTTAATATAGTGTTCTTCATAAACTTAACCTAGTTTTAATTAAGTTCAGAATGCCAAAGAAACTTTGATATTGTGAGGCTGCTGTCATAACTCGTTTATCATTGTTTTTATTGCCAACATATTTTTGCAGCCTAGGCTAATTAAGAAGAAAGAGGAAGCCAGCGATCAGGCATTGGAAAACCTAAAGACCTTCCTGTCTCAGAAGAGGCCCTGACTCTACCAGATCACCTCACCAGTTGTGATGTGGAGGTTCTGAGGATGAACCTCCACATCGTCTTCATGGTGTAAGGCTTTTTTTTTTAACTGAACAGCTGGCCATATTTTTAACAACAGCAAAAACTGGTGCATTACCAACACTGAGTGCTTAATAAACATGATTTAATTTGAAAATAATTGGACCGAATTTATTCCCCTTGTTACCATTTCTCTTTCATATATTTTATTCATTGTTAGCTTTCAGGGCCCTGTGTTAGACTGGTGACCTATCCAGGGTGAACCCCACCTCTCATGGATGAAAAGCTTTTAAGGTAGTTTATCTCCCTTAAGTTCACACTTAAAACTGCTTCATAGTAAAGGCCAACATCAACTGATTCTATTTTTTCTATTTCTAACAAAACCAGGCAAAGAAGACGCCTGAAATGTTTTTCCACCCCAGACATCCAGTTTCAGTCATCATCAGTTCTGATGATGTCACATCCATAGCGAATCCACAATGTCTTAAAATTGTAAGTCATATTTTTTCTTTGCCGTTTTTCTGTACTCTTTAAAATACAAGTGCTTTCTCTGTTTAATTGCTCTGTTGTCTTTTTTGTAGGTTTCTGTTAAGTGCAGTGGTGCAGTGAATGGGAATGTTCTGTCGGTGACCCTCACTGTTCTTAGGAAGGGGAAATGTCAGTTTGTCTGCAGTAATATTGGAATACTGTGACATTGTATTAAAGCAATACTCTGTCCTAATGTGTACCTAATGTTTTAATTTTCATAAGCATGGTATCTGTAAACTTTGAATGTATTGACAATTTGTGCAATTCTGCCATAGTATATTGGCAATGTACTCTTGAAAAATGTGGGTACCTGTTTATGTGACAGGGTGTGCATAAGACTGACATGATGACATTGTCATAAACATGACATAACACCTTTCATGAACATGAAGATCTCTGTTGTCATGAAGTGTCATTCGGCAAATAATGACACTTTTAAAAAAGTTGGATTAGAAGTCCATTAAAAGTACCAAGTTTACATTATTTTGCAAATAATGACACTTTTAAAGTAACTTTGCATTAAAAGTGTCATTATTTACCAAATGACACTTCATGACAACAGAGACCTTCGTGTTCATGAAAGGTGTTATGTCATGTTTATGACAATGTCATGTCAGTCTTATGTACACCAGATCAAATAAAGTGTCACCAAACCATATATAAAATGTATTGAACACAAATGTAATTTGTTTCACCTGTAGAGTGTGTTGTAATTATTTAATAGAACTGTCTAAAATGAGATATTTATATTGAGGAATCTAGGGAAAATTATTTGCTTTGTGGATGTAGGAAGGAAATTTATGCAGGCGATTTTATTTTTTATTTTCACTTTATTTTAAATTGAAGCTGTAAATACAAAGATATTGCCACATGACATGCATGCACATACACGCTCACAGTAAATTCTGTGTTCTGGTAACCTGATGTGTTGCAATTCTATAGTGTGTATGTGTATACATGTAATGTACAAAGTTGCAAAGCATATCAAGATGTTAAGGATGTTTACATTACATGAAAAGCAATATACTTATAGTATAGTAAGTGTAACTTGAGTTGTTCCAAAAAGGTACCTGAAGGTATACTTACCGTACGTAGTACACTTTAGATTGTGCTCTAAAACTATTTAAATAGTATTAAAATACACTAAGCGACTGTGGTTGTGTGGCAGAGTTGTCATCTTGCAATCGGAAGGTTGTAGGTTCGATTCCAGCTTTGTCCTGCTATATGTCGATGTACCTCTGGGCAAGGCACTTAACCCCAAATTGCCTACCGGTCTGCGTATCGGTGTATGAATGTGTGTGTGAATGGGTGAATGTGACTCTAGTGTAAAGTGCTTTGAGTGGTCAAAAAAAAAAATGACTGGAAAAGCTCAATATAAGTTCAGTCCATTTACCATTTTACCATTTAAGCACACAATTAGTTTTGTGCTTAGTGTGCAAAATATTACACTTTACCCATAATTAATCTGACTTAAAGTATGCTTAAGTGTACTAAAATCTAACATACTTTGCATATTTATTTTTCACTAGGGATTTTCTTAGAAACAATATATTTGGTTAAATTGCCATTTTTATGATGTTTTCATTTTTATCCTTTGTACAAAAGAAATGCTTTGTGATTTTTGTTCTCTTTGAAAAGTGCTGCCAAGAAATGGCTCACTTTTAGTACCCCCAAATTAGTCACAATGTTTCTTCGAGGACAACAAAGTTGGGGTTTTGGAGTAGCCATCACACAGAGAATGTGTGAGCTGAATTGAAAAAGTGTGTAGGGAAGGCGGCACACAAACCTGACCCAGTTGCAGCGGTTCTGACATGACGAAAGGAGAAAAATTACAGCAAACTGTTGTGAAATCCTTATGGAAGAAGACCCAAAACATTTGACCCACGGCTCGCAGTTTAAATTCAGTTCCACCAAAGATTTTGAAAATATTCTCTTTCCCATTCTTCTGAGATTTAGCATTCAAAAAATTTAGAAAACTGTAACAGAACAAGAAAAGTTGAATCTTATTTAATGTCAGAACGTTGGAAAAAAGAGTTCTGTGTCTTTGAAAATAAATATTTCTTTTCAACTTTGAAAGCTGTGATGGACTCTGATGGTTTTGCTTTCGATGCTGTGGTACAGTTTGCCTAAGGCAGCAGTTAGGGTTAGGATTAGGGTTCGGGTTCATCAACAAGGTGTATGAGGACAGAGCCTCCCTGCAGTGTCCCTTCTCTGGTCATCTCTTCGTCTCTTTATGAGATTCATTAATGAACTCTATAAGCAGATGACTTATGACAATGGATTGATTGCACTGGGACAGAGGCTTCACATACCATATTTTCAAACTTTTATTTCGTAAGAAAAAAAATATTCCAGCAATTTCATGTAAACTCTACCCAAAATAAGTTGAATTTCAGGGCCATAGCGGTACAAACAAGAACTATACTGCAAAACCACAAACTTTTAACAAGTATTTTTGTCTAGTTTCTAGTGAAAATATCTCTGTACACTTGAAACAGACCAACAATACCAATAGTAATATTTTAGTGTTTCTGCAATATAGTTCAAGGCTTGTCGTACTATCAGCGTAGAGGACCCAATGTAACCACAAGGGGGCGATGCTGACCCATAACACAGTCCTTTGAATCTGTCCGGGGCGGACCCCATGGATGGATGGATGGATGGATGGATGGATGGATGGATGGATGGATGGATGGATGGATGGATGGATGGATGATGGATGGATGGATGGATGGATGGATGGATGGTTTTTTTTTCTCTCGTTTATGCTAAATATTTTATAGTGTTGTGGACAAATGGCGCAGTGATAATACGTTTAAAGTTTCTCCTCACTCGGAGTTATTGTTGAAATGCTTTTGTTTGAAGGAAGCATTGCGCACAACAGGCTGTTATCAGGCATTGAAAAGTGCGGTTATGGGCGGCATTAGGTTTCTGTCAGTCTCCTCTTGCCTGTCCTGCACTCTTAACCGCTTAAGCACCGGAAAGTGCCAATTATAGTTTCTGAGCTCTCAGTACTCGGATCCCATTCATCAGCACTCTATCAGAGGACCATATGGATTTGGGATGGCCTTTCTTTTCAGACAGACCATCGGTTTCGACCTGGGTGAATCACGCAAGCAGTCTGAACTAAAATAATCATGGCGAGGCCCTTTAAGGTGGAATATGAACGAAAGGAGTGAAAATAGAAATGTTTCTGGAACGATATTTGCTCACTTCTGCTGGATCATATTTCTGTTCTGACAAAGATTGTTTATCCGACAGAGAATCTCTCCTTTGTTAAATAGATATCAACTTTACAGCTTGAATGCATTCATTCAAATCCTTTAGACTAATTGGATGAGGCATTGACGGATTCTAATTTTGACATATAAAATAATGAGAAAAAAACATGATATTCAGAAGATGCACACTTTTATTTTTGTCATCTGTTATCAAAACATTTTCACGTACAAAAGGTCCACAAGAGGACTTTCAGTTTTGTTTTTTTGTTTTTGTTTCTTTGTTTGTTTTTTTTTTTAAAGACGTAGATAAAAAGAAATAAAGAGAAACAAAAACTGTCTTAAAGAATAAAATGCGTTTCTAAGTAATAATTAAAATATACTGGCTTATATGGACTTGAATAGCATATTGAAGTGAAATGTAAAGAAATTATTATTTTTTTCCTTCAAGGGGAAAATGAATTTAATTTGAATGAATGAAACATTTCAGGAAGTTTGTGAAACCATGTAACCCTGAGAGAGTCAGCTGAATTTAGCTGCTCGAACAGATAAAGTAGTGCCTATAAATGCCTGATCCATTTCTTTAAGTCAAACTGAAAAGAAAATAATACTGATATGGCTACTGTCCTACAAAAATGCTAAAACGTTATTTATGTAATTAATTGGATGAGGCATTGATCATTTTGGTTTGTTTTTTAAGCGCCGGCTCGCGGTAGCGTGCACACTCATAAATTATTTTAACTTTATAGATAGCTATTAAAAACCCTGTATTATATACTTATTTACCCTGTAAAAAATAAAAACCCTGTTTCTCGAAAGAACCAACATTAACATTTGTAGCCGAGCTTATAGTGCCGATCGGGCGTTAAAGTGGGATAATTCGTGTTTTTATCAAAGGAGCGACAGACAGACAGACAGACAGACAGACAGACAGACAGACAGACAGACAGACAGACAGACAGACAGACAGACAGACCGTTAAGGTCACCATAATACATTCATCGACTGCTCATAGATGAGGCCGGACCTTGATACAACATCCTTCAGAATAATAATCATAAAATAACATCACAACGCTTTAAAGCAGATGAAATATTTCAGGACTGAAGAGCTTGGATCACTTCGGCTCATGTCGGTCCGTCAGACGGTTATCGCCACCTTCACGCTGCAGTCGCTGCTGTTATTGTTGCTGTCCGTCGCTTTCTTGCTTTTGCTCCTTCCTTTGGTGTTGGGAAGCTTGTTGTCTTTCTTCCAGCGCATGCGCCGGTTCTGAAACCACACTTTCACCTGCCGCTCGGACAGACAGAGAGCATGGGCCACCTCAACCCGGCGGCGGCGCGTCAGATACCGACTGAAGTGGAATTCCTTCTCGAGCTCCAGGACTTGCTGGCGCGTGTAGGCTGTACGCAGCCGCTTCGGTTCCGGCCCGACGTGATTGGGATTGACTGTACAAATAAATAAACCAAATATTAGAAACAATGGATGAATTACATCTAACCAAAATGTTAAATATTGAAATATTTAACATTTATTTAACATTATTTTTAAACATTGAATTTACATTCATTCATTTATGTTTAATATTTAACGTCACACACAGACACATAATTTCGATTATTCGATTGGAATTGTCAGTGGAAAAATCAACAATAATACTAACAATAATAATAACTATGAAAAATACTGTTTATTATATTTTCTATAACCATTTTCTTGGCAGAAGGAAAATAAGTGAAACGTAAAAATAATACTAGTAGCTACACGTGCTACTAAAACGAATAATAATAAATTAGAAAAAGAAGAGAAATAATATAATATGAAATCAAGTCCAAATATAAATAAAACAACAAAGTCTTCTTCACTAAAGGAATCCTAATCAAACTGAATCAGGTTTTATCTAAAAATAACAGCAGTTATTATTTTATTGTGCTTCGCGATCATTTGTGGTCGACCGGGAAGAGATCCAAAAGGAAATGTTTCTGTTTTCTTTGCTTCTTTTTTTTACTTTTAACTTGCAGTTTTTTTTGTTGTTTTGTTTGTTTGTTCGCATCGTTACACATCCCCACGCACACTGTTCAGCAGACACACACACACACACACACACACACACACACACACACACACACACACGCATCGCCTATATGCGCTGCAGCAGGACCATAAAACTTTATAGGGGTTGTAATTCTCGCCTGCTTTCACGAAGGTCGTAAATTATTTGACAGAGAAAATGAAAGAAGATGCTAACAAATAGAAAGAAAGTAAGAAAGAAAGAAAGAAAAAAGAGAGTAAGAATGAAAGAAAGAAAAAAGAGAATAAGAAAGAAAGTCTTTTCATTTGGTCATGGTTCTCACCATGCGCGACGTGCACTTTCTTCATCCAGGGGTAGACGACAATGGGCGGCTTGTCCTTCCCCAGGCCAGCCGCTTTCCTCTGCACCTGAGCCGGCTTGGCGCAGGTCATCCAGGCCTGCTGGCACTGCAGGTCTCCCGCGGGGAACCTCTGCTTCTCGGACGTGTCTGGCTCTCTGTACAGCGGGTAGGTCGCAGTGTGCTGCTGCTGATGCTGTGGCCGCTCCTCTGCATCGTCCCGGTGATGGCCCTGCACAGACTGATGGTAGCCGGTTTGTTGTGATGCGTACGCAAGCGGATGAGACTGCATCGGCTGATAACCCCCTGCGTAACTGCCATTGTCCTGAGGGTTGTTGTAATACCCCCCTTGGTCACTAAAATTACTGTAATCTTCTTCACAAGGCGGGAACTGCGGCTCGGCGTATTTACAGCTCACCACGAAGGACTCCATGATTGATTTATAGCGAGGATAACAGGAGAATGCTAATTTTTCTTTCTATCTCCTCTCTCTTTCTCTTTTCTCCCTCTGGCATCGAGCCATCCTGCGGCTGTCAAATAGACAGACGGCCGCGCGGGTCACATGGCCCGTCAGCCAACCAATCAGAGGCCGCACACTGGGACGTTTATGTCAAACGTAATGGGATCATTTAGGAAGAAAAAAAAAGTTCATCACGGATCTAATGAAGATTTGCAGCTTGAAAAAAATTACACCTATTAGACTTTTGCGGACACATGAAATGTAAATAAAGAAATATCTATCTATCTATCTATCTATCTATCTATCTATCTATCTATCTATCTATCTATCTATCTATCTATCTATCTATCTATCTATCTATCTATCTATCTATCATCCATCCATCCATCCATCCATCCATCCATCCATCCATCCATCCATCCATCCATCCATCCATCCATCCATCCATCCATCCATCCATCCATCCATCCCACCTTTCAGACTATAGATTTATGACTTTTCTCTCCACAGAAGGCCCGGGGTGAAAAATTAATCTCCCATATTGAGGGCTGTGGGGGCCGTATTTGGCCTTGTGGCGAGTAAAAAGGATGGACAACAAAACGTGGCCGGTCAGAAAGGTCCCCCAAAATAAAAGAACTAAAATGGATAAAAGGTTCCCAGACAGTGACTAGTAGTTTGGGCTCGTTGTTCTGGCCGGGGTCAGGCCTGGGTGGTTCGGGGGGCGGGGAATGCTGAGCTTTCCCTAAAAAATGATGCTGAAGCAGAGAAAAATGCAACTTTAGGGGAAAAAAAGAGAGAAAGATAAAGAGAAACATAATTTAATTGTGCTGAATATTAATGGAAAGTTTAAAGCTGAGCCCTCACACGAAGAGACGGTCATATGTCAGGGAAAGAAGTAACTTCCATCTTTGCGATCAGAATCGACTTTGCATTTGAAAATTGTTGAAAAATTCAGGTTGTATTCCTCTTAAAAGCTCAAGAGTGTCACTTGGGAGCAGGTCTAATGATGCAGTCAGCAACTATAGAACTACAGCTTAATGAAGGAAAACCTGGCTGAAGGATGAAGGCAGCCCTGTATGTAATGCCTCTGAAAGTTGAACTGATATTTCTGTGAAGGATATCGATCTGATGAGTCATCAGCCCAAATAGGCTCATCATAATCAGATTGGCCTTGCTTAATTTTTATCAGCTTGAACAAATCTGTTTCATACATATAGGCTCATATAATCAAGAATTTAATTTGAATTTTATATTGAGTTTTTCTCATTTTGCCATAGTGTCAAAGTCTTCCACGGTTCATCTTGAAAAGTATTACACATTATAATTTTGTGTTTTGACAGAAACCATGTGGAATAAATTGGTCAGATGGGCTCAAAATGAAACATAGTGCCACCACTAACTACCATGCTGTGGGGTGGTTTTCTTCATCAGGGACAGGTCACCTGGAGAGAGTAAACAACAAACCTGTTGACAGGACAATAAGCATAAACACAGTCAGTTCAACACCAACACTTTCCATCCAAATGTCATGTCAATTTTGAGTGAACTTTTAAAATGATGCAAAAAAAGAAAAAAGAAAGTGTGACAGTGTCCATCTTCTTGCTTGGAGCAATCAGCTGCACAAAATAGTTTCATCAGCTATTGATGTAACATATGGTTGTAATACGTAGAGCTTGCAAGCTAGCATGGACCATGTATGTCAAAATGTTGAAGTGTTCAGAAAAGTGTTCCCGTCAGGGAAACTGTAATTGTTCTGTCCTGTCAAGCAGTTTTGGTGAAGTGATCATCTTAGTTCCAGGAAGAACTACGATGATCAGTCACGTGAAGTAAAGGTTCGCTGCATCATCAGCAGATGTTGTTCCATCTCCCTTCGGTTCATTAACTCCTTTTTCAGAAAAGAGTAAAAACATATCTGCAAAATCTAGAAAAACAGTTCTGATGCAATATTTCAAAATTTGCATAAAAAAACTTTGATGGAAACACAGTTAATGTAAGAGTCTAGCTCAGGTTGTGTCAAGGTGTCGTAAAGTCTACTCCAAAATTTAGTCTGACTGAGTTGGGAAGAATTAAAACATCTTTTTCTTGTTATCCATCCAGTCTTACAAATTTGGAGGATTTTAAAAAGTATGAGTATGAATAGTTTGAACCTTTAACAAAATCGCTGTATATGTGGGTCAGTAAACTGAAATGATTTAGTTTGCGGAACTCGACTGATGTTTTAAAAAAAAAAAAAAATTATGAAGACTTAAATAAGTTGACCAAAATGCCACAAGAAATTTGATCTGGTAGCAAAATCTTATTTTTCATGGTGAAAAAAACATGCAGCTCATGTCGTGTAAAGCAACATGACAGCTTTACGTTCCTGTTCTTTGAATGATTCCTTGTCATCAAAGCTTCCCTGTGTTTTACTTAACCTGTCATGCAGAAGATTTCTGAGAACTAAAAGACGAAAGAGAGATCTGGGGAAGGATGAACGCCTTTGGCCAGGTAGCAGCGTGGCAAACACTTGTCCCTTTTCCTTCCTGTCACGGATTCTGACGGATGGCTAGTCATCGCCCATAGACTCCCCTAGAACCCAATCTGTGACCAGGGCAGCTCCACACACATTCGGTTCTACAGGGTATATATAGGCGAAGGATTTGTTCACGGCTGTGCTGTTGATGGCTCTTTGTGTTCTTCTTGTAGAGATTTCTAGTATTTTGTCGTGACTCAGCGGTTTTATAAACTTCTGCCTCTGGAAACATTAAACTCCAAACCTTCCATTTTATAGACATTCCTGCTGCTCAATGTCATCAGGTGATTTATAAAAGCCACCAGTGACACCTTTTGACATCAATACCTCATTAACAGGACATACAGCATTAATTATGATACATGTGTGTCATAACTGTAAACCAGTTAGACTGTTAAATTTGGCTGAAAGAAAGTTGAAGAAGGATTTACAGAAGGCAGTGGAAAAAAGGAAGCAGGAGTTCATCTCCCATCAGCACAGACAGGAGGACTTGTCTTAAAGGGTTGGCAGCGACTGCCAGAAGGACTATGACCAACAGGAACATAACTAATCCTGTATTTGTAGGGAACTCTTTCGGTCTCATTGGAACTCATTTCCTCCTGGGCACCATGTTGTTGACTTTAGTTTACAGCAATGAATACTTCAGGTACTCCAGATGCCTTCGATTTGCTCCAACACAAACTGCGCTGCTCATTCCTCTCAGATTTTTATGTCCTAAGAAATTCTTCACTTTAGTGGTGGAGAAATGTTACATCAAAAAATGTTGGTACACTCAACTTATTGAGATTGTCCAACAGAATTTTAATATCAGACTAAGTGGTTAATTATGAAAAATCTACTTTATGGTTTTGATGTATTTGATGTCCTGAGACAATGTGCAGTGTACCAGAGAAGCGAAGACTGAGAAAAATCTAGAAGGGTACCAATAGTTTTTCAAACTGCTTTTCTTGAGGAAGGCAGGGAGGACTGGTTCCTGGTCAGAGTCGCTGGTAAACACACTGCAAGCTGCTGGTGGTCTCTTCCAAGCCTGGGCTGTGTGGGCCTCAGTCTGGACACGAAGGGGGATCTCAGAACCCAACAGGATTTCAGCCCCCAGGGTGAAACTTGACTTCCCATTCAGATCCTGCCACTCGTGATGGTTCCCAGCTTCCATAAATGTTTATGGCTCAACATCTGACATGAGCTGAAAGCTCTGAACAAGTTTTAATCAAGACTGCTTGAATCAAAGTTTGTAAAAGCACAGTGACTATTGGTATTGTCGTGTAGACTGTTTCTGCTTAAAAGCCTATACATAAAACAATCAATTACAAGGCCCATGTAATACATATGTAAATAATCAGCAAAGTGTTGATTTTGAATCAATATATGGCTCCATCCAGCCTCCCTGCTGTCATTATTCACAGACAGTGCAGGGCTATTATGAATCTTATGGGCAGTTATATAGTTCTCAATGTTTGTGACACATTCTGGTCAAGATGCCATTGAAAATTTATGTTCCCATTTCTTGCCCTGGGCAATTTTCTCTTCTTTCACAGACATTTATTTTGAAGCTGTTTACATGTCACACTAAGTTCCCATGTCTGCTTGAATAAGCAGTTGGTGAAAACTGTATCAGAACCATTTGTTGGTCCAAAGTGAAAATAAAGGTGGGTAGTTTGTTGCACAGAGCTAAACTTTGAGTGAAGCTTGATTACTTTAACATTATGCAGAAGGAAAGCTCCAGCACGATAAAACATTAAAAGACATATTTTCACTTTTCAAGTATATTTTCACCAATGCTGGTATATATTTTGAATGCTGGTGTTCCCTGGTGAAACACTGGTTATGACCCGATTTGTTGGCTTGGAGAAGAAGACTTGATCCTTTTTCACAGGATGCCATTTTGAACAATGTGACAATGATAGTGGGGTCCACCAAATTTAAATTCATTTCATGAAGTAAATAGTCCAAGCCAATCAGTCATAAGTAAACAAAATGATTCACTATTTGATTTCAGGTATTTTTTAATTAATTATTTCAACCAATTTCTTCCTCATTTAGTAAACCATAAATAGCTCTGCTGAAACCGTTCATTGGCAACCTTAAAGTTAGACATAGACACTTTAAACAAACTCCAGCACGTTGAATTAAGCCAAAGGCTTGTATATAAGGCAGTGGCAGTTTTATAATATGGCTCCAAGTCCAGAGAGACAAGGCATCAAACTATAGCATTAACTATGCAGCATAATAAAGAAAACAGTCATTCACAGCAGAAAGAGAGAAACATTAACCCTATTGATTCGGTAGAAAGCAAACGGTAGTGGAGCCCCGCCGAATCGCGGCTCAGAGTTTACAAATTGACCTACTTGTGTATTTTTACCACCTAAAACATACTGCTACATGTTTGATATTGAAAATATTACAAAGAAATTGCAGCTTGGGAAGCTGAAATATCTGGACACTACCTGACATGTGTCTGCAAAGCAGCCAATCAAAGGGCACCATTTACTTTCCCTGTCATTGATTGGTTGTATCTCCAAAGAGCAGAAATAAGGAAGATGATATCTTTTAGGAAGACGATTTCACATTATGGTATATTTTGTGTTTGAGCTCTTGTGTTTTAGAGCTGAGAGGGTGTCATGGGATTCACAGATTCTAGCTGTTCATGGCCCCTAACTGTGACCTCTATCAGGTTCCACTGTACACAGAATTACAGAAATATACAATCCAACCTAAATAATGCTGAGCGTCTTGAGGTCATGATTGTACATGGTGATATCAGTCTCTGACTGTGATTGGACAATCTGTAAAATACAATTTCTTTTTTTTTTTTCTAAGAATGAACCGAATT